GGGAAATTCCAAAAAGCACAGGCAAAACAACCACCACAACGACAACAACAACAAACAGCTTCAACCAAAGCCTGCTCTCTCTAGCATAAGGATCAGAAAAGGGCTAGCCTAGCAAGACAGAAAACGTTTTGACAATAACTTCTCTACTCCAGCCAGACACCAAAGAAGACACTATGGCCCTGTCCCCACTCAAACCAGCAAAGGTTTAGTGGGGAGCCTAGGATTCCACATTCAATTGGCAGAAATGGGGGCCACCCTGCCCCGCCCATGTCAGTGGACATCAATCCCGTGGAGATTCTGGAATTATACCTCCACCAGGCAGTAAGGAGGCAACCTTCCCTGTCGCTGGGATGATCTCAGGACTTTCACCACCACCCAGTGGTAAGGAGGCTACTCAATCCGTGGGCTAAAGAGAAAGTTTTCCAGTACATCAAGAAATGAATTGAACTGAATGGAAATGATTATAAAACCTATCAAAATCAGTGGGGTGAAGCTAAAGCATTGCTGAAAGGGAAATTTACACCATCAAGGACTTACATTAAGTAAAGGGAAAAGTATCACATCAATAATGTAAGTTCTCATCCCAGGAAACTAGAAGAAGGAGAGCAAAATAAACCCAAAGCAAGCAGAAGGAAGGGGATACTAAAGGTAAGCCCCCTAATCAGTGAAATCGAAAACAGGAAAGCAACAGAGAAAATCAATAAAACAAAAATCTGGTTCTTTGAAAAGATCCGTAAAACTTAGAAGCCTCCAACAAGACTGGCAAAATAAACCTACAATGATTCACCGCCTTTGCACGTATTTACTGAGTGACTTTAATAGCTATATTTGTGATACTTTTCATATAGTCTACTTTAGAAACCTAAGTACCTATGTTCTCAATATGTATCGTACAGTGGAAAGAAGAAGAAGAGAAACATCGGACCCTTGATGTAAAATGACAATGAAATTTCACTTCCGACATAACAGCTAGATTGCTGTCCTTCATGACAGAAGCTATTTTTTATCATATTTTTTGTAATTAGCTCAAATTCTTTCCTAAGTGATAGAAATGATTCCACAATATTGGTGCCACCAGTTCGATTCTGTAGGCCACAATCATGTCTTTGCAAATTGGAAAGTCCTCGGAGACAAAATGTACCTAAAGTATTAATTGGCCAGGGTCTCATGTCTCATGGCTCGTGTAATGGGAAAAATAATATATTTGAAATTTTTCAGATTTCGAATCAATTACTCCTTCATATTGTTGGAAAGGTCTTGTGTAATATGGACTTAGTTGAAGATCTCCTGCTTTTTGTAAAACATTATATACAGTTTCACAATTCTCTAACGTACGTTCTGTAACTGAAATAACGGTGTCTTATTATTACGTTTTTTTACCACGAGTCCATCTATAATCTTTGTGTGTGTGTGTGTGTGTGAGAGAGAGAGAGAGAGAGAGTGTGTGCACACAAGATCCAAGGCATTTTATAGCTGGCCAAAATTATAACCTCAGGTCCTCTTAACAATTGCCAAAACTGTTTTTTGTTGTTGTTGAACAGTTAAGCCTAATGTCGGGCAACAGATTTTGTCATTCTGTTTGCTCTGTTAGAGGAGATTCCTATCAAATTCATCCTATGGTTGCTTACATTTCTCTTAATACTGTCCACTTTGTTCTGTTTGTGTTTCTTTGAACACAACAAATAAACAGCTTTTCATCTTTCTCTGCTGCTGCAAACAGCAGCAGCAGCAAGAAGGTGAGGGGCAGAGGGCTGGAATGCTCGTCTTTATGGCAAAATGCCTGCCCATAAAAGTAGGAAAGAAGGATAAAAGTAGAAAACCACCGTTTCTCAACCACCAAAGTAATAATCAAATCAGACAAGAACCCTGAACGAAAACTAAGGCCAAGGAGTGAAATTTTTTTGGAGGACAGAATACCCACATGATATCAAAATATCACCCCACAGACTGCTTATAAGTCACAGGGGGACAAAGGCAGCTTTACAGTGGAGTGATCTGTCCAACAGATCACTTTAAATAAGTGGCCGACTGAGTAATGCCAATAGCAGCGCCGACAGCTAGACAAACTGACCTTAGGATCCTCCAGATGTGGTGTAACGTGAACTACTCATCACCTATTTGACATTCTTGCCAAAACTGTTAAACGTAAATCGGAACAAGAGGACAATATCAGGCAAACCCATATTGTGGACGCTTTACAAGCAAACAGGCCTAGGCTCTTGGAAAAGCTCATCGTCATGGAAGATTTAGGATGAGGGACTGTTTGGGACTAGAGGATAATAAAGAGACATGACAACAAAATGCAATGTATGATACTTGATTGCATTGTTCATCCCCAAAAGGATATTATTGGGACAATTAGGGAAATATGAATACGGACTGTCTATGGACTTAGGTGATAACATGCCACTGTTAAATTTCTCCAACGTGATAACAGTATTGTGGTTAGATCGCAGAATATCCTAGTTCTTAGGAGATACATTCTGAAGTAATCGGATGAAGTATTTGGAACTGTTAAGTGGGAAGCGAAAAGGAAAAGGAGAGATAAAGCAATGGGATACCGCGAATCTAGGTAACAGAATGTGCACTCTTCGGTTTTGTGCGTTTTCAAAATAAAAGGTTGAGGGAAACAGGTTGCTCATATTTTAGAGTTGTGCACTGAAATATTTACCAATAAAATAAGATGATTTCTGGTATTTTCTTGAAAATAATCTGGAAGAGGGAAAAGGGAGAAGACATATATGAAATGAGCTTGGCCACGAGTTGTTAATGGTTGCGGTTGGGGGATGGATAATTGGCGGTTCCTTCACTATTCTCCATTGTACAGTGGTTCTCAAAGTGTGGTCCCCCACCAGCAGCATCTGCATCACCGGGGGAATTGTCATAAAAGCGAACTCTAGGTCCCACTCTGGATTTTTAAATCCGAGACTATAGATGTGGAGCTCAGCAATCTGTGTTTCAACAAGCCCTTCGGGTGATTCTGATGCAAGCTAACGTTCCAGGACCACTGCCCTACTGTAACGAACCTGGAGATTGTAAGTTTGTATACAAAATCTAATTTGTATATGTTTTTAAATTATCCACAGTGCAATCTGTTGTTGAAAATAAAGAAAGCAGGCATCCCAGCTGTTTAGCGGCCAAGTTTTAATAGAGTCTCAAGACAGATAATCCTAATCTTATACAAACACTTCCAGAGGATAGAAAAGAGGGACTACCCCCCAACTCTGTCTATAAGCCCAGAAAACCTTGACCCTGGAACCAGCAAAGATAGTATGATAAAGAGAAACGCCAAGTCAATCTCGCTCATGAAGAGAAGACACAAAAATCCTAGGCAAAACTTTGGCAACCTGAACCCACCGGGATACACAAAAGATGATACACCATAACTAAGTTACATTTATCCTAGGAGAGCAAAGCTGGGTTCACATTAGAAAAACCATAGATGGAAGGGGGCATGAGAGAGGTCTGTGTGTTGCTGATACGTTCTGTTGCTTGCTCTAGGTGCTAACTGAATGTGTATGCTTAGTTTTTGAAAACTCATTAAGATACACACATGGTGTTTGTCTTTTTTTTGATTATAAGATAAACTTCACCGAAGATTTTTTAAAAAATCTTTAAGTAACACTCACTGTATTTTAACGGATTAAATGAATAGAGCCTTGATCATTTCAATAGAGGCAAAAAAGTAGAATTCAATATCTATGCATGATTTTTAAGACAAATTAAACTAGGAATATAAGGGAAGTTCCTTGATCTGACGAAGGCAAAGAAAGGAAAAAAGAGGGAGAAAGGAAGAAAGAAGAGACAAAGAAAGAGAAAGAAAGAAGGAAGGAAAAGAAAACAATGAAACACAGCAAACCCATTTTAATATGGAAGTATTGGCAGCATTCTCTTTGATGTTGGGAACAACCCAAAGGTGCCTAATTTTGCCATCGCCATTCGACTTGGTAGTGGACGTCCTAGCCAGCACAGCAAGAAACCTGTAAGTTGATTTTTGCACTCCTGTTACTCACAGATTCACAGAAAGCTGCAGAATGCCGATAGACAAATTATTAGACAGCACAGAGTTTAGCATGGTGGCTGACTCTAAGATCAATATACTTTTTAAAAAGTCGAGTGGATTTCCATAAATTAGATACAAATAGAAAATGTCTCTTTTGAACAGATACGAAGTATAAGAGCAACAACACTCTAGAGTATCTTCAGATAGATACAATAAAAGATGTACAAGATCTGAGTGTACAAAAGGTAGAACTAAATACTAAACTTAAAGATGAAAACGTTAAAGGCGAACGGCATAAATGGAGGGGCATCCCATGTTGGTGACCAGGAAGGCTGGATAGCCTAAAGATAGTAAACTCGCCCCTAACTGATCCATAGATTCCACGAAAAGGCAATCCAAATCTATTGCAAATGAGTTTTCAGGGAGCATGACATGCTGATCCTAACCTTTATAGGGAAGGGCAAAAGGCAAAGAACAGCCAAGATATGCCTGGAGATGATGAATAAGATGTAGGGACTTTCCCTGCCAGAGATCAAGGTGTCTCATCAAGAGATAAAAATTAAGCCAGTGTAGTATTGGCGCAGGAATAGACAAATTTATCTGTGGTACAGAACAGGGAGCTCAGAGACAAATACGGACCAAAATGACTCCAAACACTGCCAAATGTTCCCAGCGGGTGCAAAATCGCCCCCGATTGAGAATCCCTGACACAGGAATATGGATCAACACACGCTGAATTTTGCAAAAGTAAATCACAGATTACCGAGGACATGAGTGAAAAATGCATGCACATACAATATTTCACAGCCAAAGAGCGAACAGTCTGGGAAACAAGGCTTGCGGAGCACAGCGCTGCACTCCGCTTCACGACTTCCTGGCTGGCCTAGTAAAGCGAGCATGCGGAGAAGCGGGAGGGAAGCGAGGGGGCGGGACTTTGTCGGGTGAGCCTCGGTGGAACTCGAAGCTCATTGGTCGCCCGCCACAGCGGTGAGAAGCCGCAGGCCGGAAGCTCATTGGCCTTTGTGGAAAGGGCGGGAAAGGGAGCGAGCACTGGGTCTTCCCTCAGGCCTCTGGTGCGGAGCCCACTGATTCCGACCTGCCGAAGGCTGAGGTAACCACAGGCTGGCATCAGAAATATGACCCTCGTTCTCCACGCCCCTTCTTTTCTCCTTTCCTCCTCTCTGGATCCCCAGCCCTTTTTCCTGTCCTCCACCTCAGTGGGGAACCTCCGCCCCCTCCCGCTCCCGCTATCCCGCTCCGCCCCTTCCCCGTCCTGGGTGGAACCGCCATGGTGGAACCGCCGTAGGAGGACGCCTTGCCCCAGCCCCCTGACCCCTGGCTTCTGGCTCCTGGGGCAGGGCTCATGCCCCTGCGTTTGATTCTGAGGTGGGGGCAGCAGCGAATGACTGGGCTGCCTGAGAAGAGGTGGTGCAGTCCAGGTGTGGGAGTGGGAGAAGGTGTGCTCAAGTATAATTGTTGAAGCCTGGAGAGGAGTGTGGATGATTGTTGGGAGGCTGTGGAGAGAATGCGTGGGTTCGCATAAAAGCAGCAAGGGTGTGTTGGTCCAGGAAAACAATTAGCGCAACGCAGAGTCGGCTGTTGACTAGATCAGAGTCTGGCATTCGATAGGGGGCTCAACAAACATCTATTCAGTGAATAATCGAGGAGATGAATGAAAATAATTATCGAAAGAGGGGCTTGGAACCCAGCAGAATAATATGATTTCATGGGGTGTAAAGGGATGTCAGGTTAAAGAGGGCGCAAAGGAATAATTAACGTTATGGTAGGGTGCAAGAAAAGAATCAGAATGGAGTGTGAGAGGAAAACTGAATGGAGGGCATACATGAGACTAATAACAGAACTGAGTGCAGCGGGCATAGAATCATGAGTAGGGAGTGAATGAATGTAGGATGTTAGGAAGACAGTTGTGGAAGTGGGTGCCGGGAATGATAGTCGGGAATAGCAGAGTATGGGATGATACATGAGAAGGGGGAGTGGTAATTGTTGAAGGGGGCACGAGAGTGCAAGTGTATGCCTGAAAAGGGGGTCTATGTGGAGTGAAGGTAAGCAAGGAGACTAATAATTGGGTTGAAAACAGACAGGACCCATGCCAAGAGTTTCTCGGAATGAGGCTATGTGTGAGTGGGGCTTCCTAGGAATGACACTACCCCTACATAAGCTTATGTAGCTCGTGAGGCTACATAAGCAAGAAGGGAGGTGCAATCTGATTTCAGTGGCGAGCTGGATGGAGAAGAATCCAGCCGCCTCAGGTGAGGTTTTCCAAGGGCAGAGGAAGTACCTACGTTGGGGGTAGGGGATCATGTGGCCGTCCTGACCTCTGCTCCTGGCCCTAGAACCATGGATCCCAATGAAATGCCTGCTGTGCACTGCTGCCCCTCTGACTCCACCAAAGGGCTTGGGACTGGATTCCCATGGGGGATTAAAATTGTTCCCAGAAGAGCTATAATTCTCTGTGCCCGCTGCCACAACCATGGCATCACTGACCAAATCAAGGACCATGAGCACTGCTGCCTCTTCCAGACCTGCAAGTGTCACAAGTGTGTCCGCTTCTCGTGAGTATGGTGTCTGATAAGGGAGGGGAGAGAGGGCCGGGCCTTCTCTAAATGTGACCGACTTTAGACCTGCAATCCCCCACTTTAGGCAACACTGCACGGTCTCGCCTGCTGAGAGTGCCTTGAAGAGGGAGCAGAGGGTACACCTAAAGAGGCACCTGGCTCAAGGACTGATAAGGAGTGGGGCCGCCCCTCCCAAAGCTCACCGCCGTGTCGAAGAAGTTGGCCATCCAAGGAGGAGTCCCCAGTGAGTGTCTCGGGCCAGAGAGAGAGCCTGGGTTTGGGTGTAGGGAGCATGAGTAGTTCTGTCACCAGTTCTATCACCCAATCTCGATGTGGCCTTGGGCAAGTTACTCTTTGGGCCTTTGCGTCCCCAACTATACAATGCCATCAAGATTACCCACCAAGTATTGGTGGGGAGGAGAGATCTGGGGGCTCAGAGAGGTCCACGGTGAGATGAGGCTGCACATTGGGGGTGAGGCTGAGTGGAGTGGGGTCAGGAGGAAAGGCTCACCTAAGCTGTCCCCAGTCTCTCACAGCTGGGAAAGAGAACATCATGCCTCAGCTTGAGGCCCACCCCTGTGCAACCTTCGAGGAGGTAAGGAGAGTCTGGGGCCAGTGGGAGAGGCTCCCACCTCAGCCGCTGCCCAGACCCCTTCCTCTGTGTCCTGAAGACCTGGGTTCCATCTCTAACCCTGGTGCAACTTGCCATGTGACCCTGGGGAACAAATGCTTCACCTCTCTGTGCCTCCATTTCCCCAGTTGCAAAATGAAGTGTAGGACTGGCTGGTCTTCAAGGTCTTCCCCGCTCTGACATTCTGGGCTCCTATCTTCATTCCAAAACATGCCCACATCTCTTCACGGCCGGCCTGGTACCTGACTCCAACCCGTGCTCTCTGCTTCCGCAGGCAAGCTCCCAAGGGACTCTGCTGATTGGTCAGGCCCCAGAATTTTTGTCTCTATCCTGGACTCCAGCACCCTTGAAGAAGCAACTAACAATTTCACTTTCCAGGGAGCCCCACAGGCTCCCTACTCTGCCCAGCACGTGAGTAGAGTGAGAAGGACCATGGAGCTAGTTATGTATTGTGTGACTGGGTGCCCAACCTTGTGTTTGATGCCACGGGAGATAGAAGGAGGAAGTAGAGGTGACGGTAGTGGTGGCACGGCGTGGGTGGTGGCAGTGGCGGTGGCGGCAGTGGAGGAGGAGGAGGAGGTGGAGGAGGACGAAGGAGAGGAGGAGGAGAGGAGCAGGAGGAAAAGCAGGAGGAGGAGACGGAACTGGAGGAGCCAGGGAGGAGAAGGCAGCATCTCAGAATAACGGGCAAGGACAGGACTCTCCCAGCTTTGCCATTTCCTATTTGTGAGACTTTGGACAGGTGACTTGGTGCTTCCGAGCCTCCATTTCCCTATCAGTGTACTGACAGGGGACAATATTCTACTCCTATAGCATTGACAAGAGGACTAGCACAAGGCCTGCCACATAGCAGGCCTTTCAACAAATTAGAGGCTGTTATTCCACATGAAACAGATTGATGGGATGAAAGGTCCTGCTGAAAAGGGGAGCCATGATGGCGAGGGCCACAGAGGCCCATGCGAGGGTCCAGAGGCCATTTAGCGAAAGCTGCCTGGAGATAAAACAAAGCTGGCCCTTCAAGTCCCGTGGGGATTGGGGAATATGGAGGTGAGAACCAGTCCCTGGACAGGGGACGGTAATCACGCCTCTCCAGGTGCTTTGCAGGTTAAAACACAGACACCTGTGATTTCCCATAGACTTCACTGTTGCCCTGGGAGTTTTGAAAAAGCTGGCAGGAATTAGCGTCTCAGGAAAGATATGGAAAGAAGATATGAAAAGATATAGAAAAGAAAACAGGCCGAGCAGGGAAGGGACTTGCTCAAGCCACAATGACTAATGGCCAGCAGGCTTTCAGACTCCCACATCCAGATACTGCAAAATCCTGCCTCTCTCTGTCTACTGGCAGTATGTGTCTGCCAGAGGGCTTAATCCCCTGGCCTCTCCTTTCCTTGTTTCTAGACACTCAACTCTGATCCTCCAGGTCTGTGCCACCCTTGACTCCATTCTACCGCAACCACAGATCCTGGGAAAATGGTGGGGTCCAGAACCCTGGCAGGGGCTGAGCTTAGTGAATGGGAAGAGCAGAAGGCCTCGGGGTGGGTGGGGCCTTCACTGGAACTGGAGACTGGAGGGGCACTTGTTGACTGTGGGTTCCCAACTCCCATTCTCTCACACCCTTTCCTTTATCAGGCACCCAAAGCTTCTGACCGGGACCTGGGTCCTGCCTCCTCAGAGTGGCAGCGGAAGCTGGAGGCGGCCGAGGCTCTGCTGACTCTCAGATACTCTTCCCAGGCCCCTTCTGGCTCCACCTCCCTGCTGCAGCCCTGTGCTGCACCAGGTAGCCTGGTCCTTGAAAGGAGAACACGGAGTGGGAATAGTTGGGAAATAGGAGGGCACTGTGATAAGCAGGACCTAACTGGGAAGTCAGGGTTAGTGGGTTGAACCTCCTTGGGCCCAGGCACCCAAGCTCCTCAGCCTGATGCCTGAGATGGCAGTTGACGGTTGTTCAGTGAATCATCAGTTCATCGAGCTTTGTGCTCGACAGCAAATGTTCAGCGCTGTGACGTCAGGAAACAAGGAACCTGAGGCCCTGAGAGCAGCAGGGACTTGCCCTAGAGCATGCAGCATATCAAGTGGAAGAACCAGGTCTCCTGACTCCCAGCCCAGAGCTTTCTATCCAGATCCCTGCAGTCTGCTGTGGTCTGGGGAGGACACACATGGGTGATAAGAACCTGGTCTGGAAGGAGATCTGGTCCCTACCTTCAGGGAGCTTCCAGTCTAGATGTGGAGCCTGGTTGCCTTCACAGGTCGTATCTTGCAGCTAAATCTCAACGATGAGCCTGGAGACGAAGGACGGCAAGAGGCCTGAGAAGAGATACATACCTGGGGAGGCTGAGAGGGAAGGCTGGGTGCTCCCAGGCCAAAACGGTGGGTGGGATACGGTGTGCGAGTGAAGCAGCAACCCTGGAGGAACTGCCGGAACGGAAAGGGATGAGGCTGGAGAGGCTACCAATCATGGAGATCTGGCATGCCAGGCTTAGGAGGCTAGGCCAGCAACTGTGGGTGGTGAGGGGCCAAAAAGCGTCTGAGCTAGGGAGGAGCACATTCGTAGACCCTGGGCTTGACAGAAAGAAATGTGGTGGCTGTGATGGAGGGATTGGAGGAGGCGAGGCTTGAGATGGGCAGATCAGTGAGGAAGAGTTCTGTGCAAGAGTCCAGGTGGCAAAATGTTAATTGGGGTGGAAGGAAAAGGAGGGGTGAGCCTGGAGGGGAAATGGGTGTGACCCGGCCCTGACCTCTTCCTTTCTGTCTACAGCTCCCGCTGGAGATCGAGGACTCCAGCCTCCTAGCCCCTCTCCCAGACCCAGGCTGGTCAGCTCCATTTCTCTGCCTATTGGACATCTGGGGTGCATCTCCCTCTTGAAGTAGAAGCCCAGAGGAGGAGGCCTCGCTAGAGTACTGCTTATTTATGCATTTGCAAAATGTTTAATGTCCAAAATGCTTAACATCTTTTCGTTAAACCTTCAGGTGCTTTTATAAGCTTTCAGACCCTTTTTATTACATGGGGCAATTCCTTGGCTGAGGGTGGGTATTCTTGTACCTCCATCCCTTACTCCCTTGGATCCTGGGGCCTTTTTGCGTCTCTTATAAAAACAGCGTTGTGCAATCTAAGCCGATCAGTCTCGAAATAGGGTTCTGCGTGAGTTCATACGTTCATATGCCAGGGTTTTTGTTTGACTCGTGATTGCGAACATACCAGCGCGCTCATGTACGTACCCACGCATGTGAAAATATGAGGGTGTTTTCATCTTGTGTCTAGCTTTGTGTGTGTGGGCAAATAATAAACCCTTGTTGTTGTAAGGCACTGAGATATAGGAGTTGTTTGTGACCACAGTATAACCTGGACTGTCCTGACTCTAACAGACTTGTTCAATTCACTTTTCAAAGTGAGACTCACGTTACTCAACAACTGGGATTTCTCAACATGTCTAGATAAGAAAATGGCAGAGAAAAAAGGGTAGGAGATTTATTCGCTCAGCAAGTAAGTGCCTACCCTCTGCCTGGCACAGACTGTTTCCAGTTGCCCAGAGGGCCACACACTGAAGTGTCTGCAGGATGAAGCAGATCGTATAAATGAGCAGAGCAGGCCAGACGGGCTCCAGCCAACTGACAGTGCATGCTCTACCTAAGGGGGCAGCTGCCACTTGGCTCTAGCCAATTGTGGTCATGCAGGAATGTGGACTCATTGTTGCCACATCTCCTGATTTTTCAAGAGAGGGTGGAATTCTAGATTTCTATGTAAAACATCTCAGTTTTAAAATGTTGACTCTGGTTTCCTCTTTAAGCTCTATACGTGGGCCAAGCAAAACATCCATGCAGGCCAACTTTGGCCAACAGAATGCCAGTTTGATTCTGGTCCAATGTGTATTTTACAGTGGGGGAAACTGAAGCCAATCAGCACAAGAAGAATCAAAGAGGGAAGATGAATTAGACCCAGAGCTTACCTTTGAAGGACCCACAAAACATGAGGAAGAATCATTACCATTTACTTATTCCGTGCCCACCGTATGCTAAGCGTGTGTAGCCTCACAGCAGCTCTGTAAGCCAAGCATTATTACCACCCTTTTGCCTATGAGGAAACGGTGCTCAAAGAGTAAAAGTAACTTGCACAAGTCTTTGAGGGGAAATTTTTAGCCGAAGATGGGGAGAGGCTCCCTTCTCTTTGCCAGGCCTAAATTAGCTAGTAATTTGCTTTTTTTGTAAAGCATTGAAAGAAAGCTTCAAAACTTGAAGCGGCAGACATCCAGTCAGAGGGGTCTCTCAGAAATGGTCCCTTCGTTTCATACTCAGGGTAACAACGTCTGGTAATCTATCAGATCTTACCTGCACTTGTCTCTCAGTCCTCTGCTGATGTTCCAAACAAACGAAGACCTGGAGACCCCGCCAGGAGGACAGAAAACTCAACTGGACATGCCCAGTCACTGACTCTTTCCCATCATGTTTCCTCCCTCCTTCCTTCCCTCCCTCTGTTTTCACCCAAGATGATTGATGGTGATGACATCCGATTACGACTTATTCTTTCTTGCTTGAGGCCTTGAGACGGCAGGCTTCTTATATCCTTTATCTGATGCCAGACACACAAACATGCAAAATCACTCAGCACATAGAGGAAGACTGACATCCATCTCATGCCTGCCTTCCTTCCCTGACTTGTTACTTAAATCAGTGATCCCTAAACCCCTCCTCTCCCGGTATCAGATGAACAAGTCCACATATTCACGGAGGAAGGAAGCAGTGTTATCTGGAAAAGGACTAAAGCCCTGCTGCGCAATTGTGTCCTAGGCATGCCACGGCTCCAGAGCTGAGGCGGTAAAAGAGAAAGTGTATTTTGGGTTAAAGGACGCGGCTTGAGAAGAGGGAGGAGAAGAGAAATAAAGTGATGGAGATTGGAAGAAGGAGTGAGCCTCTTTTCCCTGTGTCCTTTCATTTTTTCGAGTCTCACCTGCCGTTCCATGCAGGGCTTTTTAGACTGACGTGTGTGTGTGTGTGTGTGGGCGTTGCACCATACCTTTTCAAAAAGTCTCTTCATGGCGTATTATGGGCATCTTAGGACATCGTCGTAAGTGTTAAATATCAAATCTTTTTTGGGAACTATCCTTTTTCACGTACTACTCCAGTTCACAGATTTAAAACATCACTTTATAAAACAGTGTGAGTTAGGTCTTGGCTCTCCTGTGTTATACAACAACATTGGTTGGACCTGAGGATATCCACCACATCAGAGCGCCTGGAGAGTGGATCAGTTCCAACCAGTCGTATGTAGGTAAATGTTCAGCAACAGGCTCTCTGGGAGAGGGAGGGAAGTTAGGGGAAATGCCCAGTGTTGTAGCATTTTCTGGTTTCAAGCTGCCAGTACGATGTCAATTAATGCAGAGTTGGGAAGAGATGCATTTCTACCATTCAGATACAATAAATGTACATAACCTCAAGAGCACGGGTAATAGTAAAATGTAGGAAAATAACCAGAGATTGGTGAGGTTAGAGTATGTATTATGTTTGTTTTTGATATCATGTATGTAATGTAATTGTTGCTTTGCACAATTTAATTTTTAACAACAGCTGCGTTTAAGAGCCGGCTCGCAAAAATTTCTGAAAATTTAACAGTCAGCTCTTGTGTTCCAGTAAGAGTCCCCTCCAGCACTCCACTGCTTTGGACTCTTGCCCAGAAAGGCGCCTCTTCCAAAGCAGGTCACATTAACGCTGCAGAGCCGTAAAGGGCTGCTACCACTGGTTTCTGACCAAGAACAGCCTGAAGTGTGGGGAAAGTATTTATTAATAAAGAAATGGAATGATCTGGAACAAGTATTGAGCAGAATAAACTGTCAAAAGCCTTTATGGGCGAACGCGCATTCTCGGAGGTGACCAGCGTTGGGTAAAGGTGAGAAGTAGGGACGACAGACAATAAACAAAACTCATGCAGGGCTGTGTTCAACAGATTTCTCAAAGGCCAAATGAATGGGGCAACTGGCGTTGCTGGATCTGTATCTCTCCTCAGAGAGACAGACATTCATTACACTCCCTCATCCTTCTTAGATAAATGCTGCATGATCTACATAAACTTCTCCACCTTGCCTTTTTTCACTTAAAAATATATCCTTCGTTGTTAAGTATAGGCACTATGTTATACAGCAGATGTCTAGAACATAGTCATTTTGTATAATTGTAGCTTTATGCCCATCAAACAACAACTCTCCGTATACCCCTCCCCCCACCCTTTGGCAACCACCGTTCTATTGTCTGTTTCTGCAAGTTTGACTATTTTAGATGCTTCATATAAGAGGTATTGCGCACTTAAAAATTTGTTAAGAGGGTGAATCTCATGTTAAGTTTTCTCATCACAAGAAAGCGAAAACAAAACAAAATAAAAAAGGGACACAAGGAGACTTTCGAGGGTGATGGATATGTTTATTACCGTGATTGTGGGGGTGGTGACACAGGTGTACGCATGTGTCCAAACTCACCAAATTGTACACATTAATACGTGCAGTTCTTTGTATACAAATTATACCTCAATAAAGCTGAAAGAACAGTATCTTTGAGATCACTCCACGTTGCGGTGTAGAGACCTCTCTCACTCCTTCCAACAGCTACAGAGTACGCCATCGTGTGGACGTTCCATAATTTAGTCAACTCATCTGCTATTTAAAAAAATTTTTTTTCAATTATTTCATTGAGATCATAATGGTTTATAACATCGTGTAATTTCAAGTGTACATTATTATTTATCGGTTTCTGTATAGACTGCATCGTGCTCACCACCAGTAGTCTAATTTTTATCCGTCACCATACACATGTGTCCCTTTACCTCTTTCGCCCACCCCCCAGCTCCCTTCCCCTCCGGTAACTACTAATCTGTTCTCTTTATCCATGTGTTTGTTTATCTTCCACATGTGAGGGAAATCAGGCAGTATTTGTCTTTCTCTGTCTGGCTTATTTCACTTAACATCACACCCTCAAGCTCCATCCATGTTGTTGCAGAAGGGACGATTTTGTCTTTTTTATTGCTGAGTAGTATTCCATTGTGTGTGAGTATAGATGTATATATTATATATACACAATATATGTACATAAATGTGTCTGTCTGTCTATCTATCTATCTATCTCCTTTCAACCGTCTTCTTTATCCATTCAACCACAGAAGGGCACTTGGGTTGCTTCCACGTCTTGGCTATTGTGAATAATGCTGCGATGAACATAGGGGTGCATAAATCTCTCTGGATTGGTGATTCCAAGTTCTTTGGGTAAATACCCAGTAGTGAGATAGCTGGATCGTATGATATTTCTGTTTTTGGTTTGTTGGGAAATCTCCATAGTGTTTTCTATAGTGGCTGGGCCAGTTTGCATTCCCACCAGCAGTGTATGAAGGTTCCCTTTTCTCCACAGCCTCTCCAACATTTCTTATTTTTTGTCCTGGTAATTATAGCCATTCTGACAGGTGTAAGGTGATATCTCATTGTAGTTTTGATTTGCATTTCCCTAATAATTAGTGATGTTGAACATCTTTTCATGTGTCTGTTGGCCATCTGCACGTCTTCTTCGGAGAAATGTCTGTTCACATCCTCTGCTCATTTTTGGATCGGGTTGTTTGTTTTTCTGTTGCTGAGTTGTATGAGTCCTTTATATACTTTGGAATTTAACCCCTTGTCGGATAGATGATTCACAAATATTTTCTCCCAGTTGGTGGGTTGTCTTTTCATTTTGCTCATGGTATCCTTTGCCTCGTAGAAGCTCTTTAGTCTGATGTAGTCCCACTTATTTTTTCTTTTGTTTCCCTCGCCTGAGTAGACATGGTATTCGAAAAGATGCTGCTAAGCCTGATGTCAAAGAGTGTACTGCCTGTATTTTCTTCTAGGAGTTTTATGGTTTCAGGTCTTACATTCAGGTCTTTAATCCATTTTGAGTTAATTTTTGTGTATGGTGCAAGATAATGGTCTACTTTCATTCTTTTGCAAGCGGCAGTCCAGTTTTCCCGATACCCTTTATTGAAGACACTCTCCTTTCTCCATTGTATGTTCTTGGCTCCTTCCTCGCAGGTTAACTGCCCCTAGATGCATGGTTTTACTTCTGGGCTTTCAACTCTGTTCCGTTGATCTATGTGTCTGTTTTTGTGCCAGAACCACGCTGTTTTGATTACTATAGCTTTGTAGTATATTTTGAAGTCAGGGACTGTGACGCCTCCAGCTTTGTTCTTTTTTCTCAGGATTCCTTTGGCTATTCGAGGTCTTTTGTTGCTCCATACAAATTTTAGGATTCTCTGTTCTGTTTCCGTGGAGAATGTCATTGGGATTCTGACTGGGATTGCATTGAATCTGTAGATTGCTTTAGGTAATGTGAACATCTTAACTATGTTTAGTCTTCCAATCCATGAGTATGGAATATCTCTCCATTTCTTTATGTATCTTTTTCAGTTTCTTTCAACAACGTCTTATAGTTTTCAGTGTATGGGTCTTTCACCT